CAACTTGTCCAACTAACTGGCTTGGTGATTTGTTGATCAGGTCAGTACAAAAAATGGAGGATGATATATTTGAACCTTTGGACAATAAGGCATATGATGTCCCTAGCCTGTTTGAGAGTCCCAACAGTAAGGAGGCTGGAAGGGAATATAACCTAAACATTTTGCAAATGGGTACCACAGGGTTCAACAGCATCAAAATAGGTGAAGATAAGAATTATCTACAGATGTTAGAGCTAAACAGACAACAAATACCAGCAGGCACATACACTTCAGTTTAACACAACACTGCCCACATAAAAGGCCCCTCCAGGAGGGTACCAAGACCAGTGGTATGGTGCATATTAATAGGGACCCAGCAAGGGCATTAGTGGACTCAGGCTCCCTAAGTGATTTCATATTCAGTACATTAATACAACAACTGAGCATACAAAAAAGGGAGCTCACCAGATCAATAGCAGTGCAACTAGCAGTACAAGGATTGAGATTCAAGATCAATTTTAGCACCACTGCCAAGTTTGAGGATCAGAACATTGCAGAAAAGTGATACTTCAATGTCATCAATTTGTCTGGTTATGATTTAATATTGGGAATGCCCTGGCTAATCCAACACCAAGTAACCTTTGGTATAAATCTGGTGAGAGTGTTATAGGTGTGAATAAGTCTTTACCAATAAAGGAACAAGGAGTCACAGAACTTTTGTTGAGATTGATGGAGATGTATGAAACAAACCTAGAAAAAATTAGGGAAGAACTGCATCAATATGCAGTGCCCATCTGTCAAACAGCAAGTAACACCCCCTACCTCTATTGTGGGCAATCAACTGTGAAATTAACCTAATTAACTCCAACAGGGTGTACCCCTGGAGGTCCTCAAGGTGTCTGGAGGCAGTGAGATCACAATGGATGGCAAAGAGGGATGATAACATTCAGAGTGGATGATGGAAGTAACCAGCATTGGGAATACTGTTCCAATGATGCTGATACTGAAACCATCAAAGAATGGTAAGGCACCCTTGCTTGAGGACAGTATTTGATTTGAGGGCATGAAATGCTAACACTGTCAAGAGGTTATCCCCATTAACTGATATAGACAGTATACTTAGAAAAGAGTTTCTAAAAGAAAATATAGATCTATTTTAGATGGTCAGGATGCATGCAAACAAATATACATAGTACTCAAACATGTCAATAGATCTGCAGTGACTATCCCTGATGGAACATAGTTAGCAATGTATTACAACAAGGTGACTGTAATGCACCTGCTACCTATCAAGCACTAATGTATCATATATTTTTGCCCTATATCTGAAGATTCATTGACATCTACTTAGATGATGTGATAATATATTTGGACTCCCTAGAAGAGCATATAAGCCACTTTAAACTTGTGTTAGATATCTTGAACTGGGAACAACTGTACCTGGGGAAAGATAAATTAAAGTTCTTATGCCCAGAAATGAAGGTACTAGGATGGGTTGTAAACAACAAAGGCATAAGAATGGATCCAGACAAAGTGGATTCAATACTTCATTGGAAAACTCCAACTTACCATGACTTGCTTAGAGGCTTTCTAGGTGCTGCCAGTTACCTGGCAGATGACATAGCTTGGGTAAGAATACTGATGGGAGTGCTGCATGGACTTACAGGGGACACTGTACATTTTTGATAGGAGTACACACACCAGTGTGCTTTTGAAGACATAAAGCAATTGACAGCAAACTATAAAATCACCACAGAAAACCTTTAGATTATAATGAGGGCATACCTAAAATTAACATTGTAAACTGATGGGTGTGTCACTGGCATCATGGGAGTTGTGAGTCAAGGCAACAACTGGAAAACAGCCTGGGTTGTGGCATTCTACTCTGTAAAGTTGAACTCAGCACAGCAAAACTACTCAGTACATGAAATCAAAATGCTGGCAGGAGTTGAGACCAGGCTGGGCACTGAGACATCCTGCAAGGCACAAGGTTTAAGTGGTTCACAGACCACAAAGGGTCAATACACATACTAGAGCAAAAGAACCTCTCAGGCAGACAAGTGAGGTAGTTGGAAAAGATATTGGAGTTTGAATTCAAAGTAATATATGTTCCAGGAGTGAACAATATCCTATCAGATGCTCTGCCAAGGATATATGCCTTTGATGAGTCTGGCATGGTCCAGGCAAGGAGCAAATACACCTACCATGATATAATAGATAATAAAGGAATTAGTGAACACTTGATATCCATGCCAGTGTTGGTTGGAATGGAGGGTGGATGCTTGGAGCCACTTTCAGACCCTAATCTGGGACTTAGCCAACTGTAATGAATTCCCCAGCATCTGAGGATTTACACAGTGCCTAAAGATAGCAAGAATATCAGCACATGATAGCATATTGTGTGCCAGGATAAAAAAGACTTGCCTCACAAACCAGAAAAGACAGGCAGTGCTATTTAAGGAAAAGGAGCTTGCCTACATGTCAATTAAAAATATGACCTTACCAAAAGGCCTGGCTTGTAAGCTGATCTCAAAATATGTGGGCCTGTATTTGATCCTAAAGGATTATGGCAACAGTTCATTTAAAATACAATTCCCTTCTTGCATGATCAGAAGAGGAATTTACCAAACATATTATCCCTTACTCATGCACATTTATCACCCAAAAAATGGCCAACAATTTCCAGGAAGGCTATATTTCCATATCATTGTGGAAACTGAACCAGAACTCAAATCAGAGTGGGCAGCAGATAAGATTATCAGCCACTCTGGTTCCTCAACTAATTGAATTTTTAAGGTCCTTTGGCAGGCTGGCAATAAGACCTGGATGCCATACAATCAGGTCAAGGCCCTGAACCTACTAACCCCTGGTCTGGAAGTGCAGAGGGCAGATAATATTAATAATCTACCATCAGGAAAATGTAGGTCCCCAACAGATGACCCTCAAATTGTTTTAGAGTCCTTACATTTCCACACTTTAAATACAACCCAGACCCCAACTTATCCTCCACCAATTGACCAACACACCCCTCACTTCTCACATTCCCTTTCTCTGACAAACACTACCTGGAGATGCAGGCCTACAGAGTAATCAACCACTGGGGCAAGATTAACCTCCAGGCTTGGGGCATAATGAAGAACATGTTACTAAAACCCCACCAAGAGGCTCAGCACAACCAGGCTCACAGCAAGCAGAGACAGGAGGGGAAAGAGGTCAAAAAACACTGCCCAGAGAAAGCTCTACCTGAAATGATGATTGCTGCCACAGTTGCTGCTAGATTCCAGGAGGATTAGGAACAAGAATAAGGGCAAGGCCAAATTGCAGAACAGTGTTACACTATCAGCACCAGAGAAAGTGTCAGACACTGATGCTGTGGGTAAAGAAGACAATTCAATGGTCATCAACTACAAAGATAATTAGAAGCATTCAAAGGTGTTGTTGCACCTGTCCATCACCCAACTTCTCATTCTGTTTCTTGGTATAATCCTTTCCCATTCTTTCTCCCTCCAATGCAACTCATCACATGTTCCCCCTTTGTTATTAATATGCATTTTTAGGTCCCCATCCCATTAGAGGACCTGGAAGGTGTATGTAACAACAGTGACTGGTCATCTACTACTATGTAAACACCTACTCATCTTATCTTCTGATCTCTTAGCTACATTGTATGGAGACTATCATTATCCCACACAGTATATAAAGGGCTACCTTGTCCATAAGTAACCAGCTTTCAAATCAATGGAACTTACATATGTTCTATCATGAGCTCCCACTTTCTACCATGTAACAATGCCATGACATCATGGCTGTGAACAAAGATGGTACAAATGTAAAACAACAGAGCAAAACTCAAAAGTCAGCAGTTTTGTCAACAACTTGAAGCTCTGTTGTAATGTTCATTCAAGACCTTTGAGCTACAGGGATTGTCAGTTCAATCCCACAGGCTCCAAATATGTCTTCACAAATGTGTATTTTGATCAATTTTTGGTTTGGTTCAGCTCATTTTTGAAAATCAATGCCATATTGTGATCAGTGCATTCTATTTGCTGCCAGGTGGTTCCCAGGTTTGGCATACTTATGTGATTGGTTGTTGTGTACTCACAACTATATTGATGGCCATGACTTCTGCTCACAGAAGGCATATCTGAGCATTTGTTATTCATTTGATTTTCCAAGTATCTAGACTAGTCCAACCAACAATTGCCTCTGAGACAAGTCACTATTCTTTATGCAACAGTCTTTTATTATTTTTGATAGCATTAGTACATAAATACAAATGAGACTGGGACTTCCACAAGAGGCTCAACAAACAATTGGGGTCTGGGCTTAGTGGTAGTGGACATGCTTCACACTATTAGTGGACTTGCATGAGGTTGTGAGTTCAATTCTCAAAGGCTCCAACCTAATATTTAACAAAATGTTTTTTGCATCACATGATGTGCTCTTTGAGTTATTGGGCTTTTGATTAAAATATATAGTGTATTATATCTAGCTAGAAAGTAGAAGAATCAGCATCTATTATCCTTATCCATAATGATAGAAATGATTTTGTGTCCTAAGTTGGACATTGGAGTCTGTGAGGATTGAACTCATGACCTCATGCATCATGCAAGTCTATTAATAGTGCAAAGCATGCATGCTACCACTGCACTAAGACCCCATATCATTTGATTCCTAGCCCCACTTAGCTGCACAACAATACTTGTCTTAATGGCATCTCATGCACTATCTATTTTCTTGCTCTACCCACCCTGCATATTTGATGGCTGCTTGGTGTGCTCTATTATCAACTCATGATCTACTGATGATCTAATTCAACACTGATGACTCACACATCTGGTGCAGGACCTTAAAGTCCAAATACTGGTTGAAGGACTGCTGGATTCTACTCATTCATTGCCTATGCCCTGCAGCACATTGGGTCCTTTGCTGTGTTCTCCCACAAACTTGGGAGCTTCTGTTATTTGACAGTTTTGCTGCACAGAATCCCTGGCAGGACAAAATCAGGGTACAATGTCCACCATAAATTGTGACCTCTTCTCACTATTTTGTTTTACAGGACATCCATTGTCTTGTCAAACAGCTTGTTGTCACTGCAAATTGCCATGGTCATGACTTGCACATCATCACCCAGAAAGGATGGACTGCAGGGCCTATTTCAGTATGCCACATTCTACTCTCATGTACCATTGTCACATTTAAATTTTGTGCCCTGTTAGAGCAATGGGTACAATTGCAGCCTCTGAGTGCTTGCAACAATTGGGGGAGTTCTCTGTGGGTTCCATTGTTCTGGGCTCTCTGAAGCAGACATGCCAGCACTCAGGTCTGCCTTCTGAGCAGTTCCAGTCCCATCTTTCAGCCCAAATCTTTTTTGGCCATTGCTTTGTGATATGCAATAGGGTCTTTGGCTTTGAGCTCTGCTTCTGTCCAAAATCTGTAGTCTACATAACAAAATAGACCTCTGGGTGCAAACTGAGTGAATGAAGCATGTTGCTCACCCTTGCTGACAGGAATGTTGGAGTGTGTGATAGTGGCAGAAGGATGAGGATACAAGATCCTGCTGGGAACTGCACTGCAAGCCCTAGTTTCCAGAGCACAAGGTGACCTCCTGTCATTAGGTTGAAGTTCTTAAGAGCATGGATGGAGCACCATCCAAAAGGGCAGTTGAAAAAGTTGCAGTACCATTGTGTCCAGACTTGGGGACCAAAATTAAAGGCCACAGTAGGAAAGATGTTCATGTCAAAGTTTCATCTCAGAGTGAGATCAAACTTGTACAGTGGGTCAAGGTGGGATTTGAAATAATGGTATAGCCTTGGTGCCTATAGTTGTAGTCCAGCTTTTGGAAGTCAGCCAAGTTTGCAGACATAAATTGCAAGAGTACTCACCACTTGCAAAATTTGCCAGGTGATAAACATTAGCATCAGCAAATATCTGTCCTGTCACCTCCATATGCCTCTGGGTGCTCAAGTTAATGGGTTATTTGGTCCCTTTCTGGTGGATAATTCCTACTTTAACTGCAGGGCACCATCCTCTTTCATGATGGAGTCATGGGTGCCAAGGTTAGCAAGCACTGCCTCCTAGTCGAGAAGGTCATAAACAGCTATTGCAGAAAGTTGGTACCTCTCTGTCTGTAGCTGCCCCAGTAGGACCACAATGACATGCCCTTGCACATTGACTAACAGTCTACAGTCACTACAGTGAAGGTTAGTGGTCTGTCTGGGCACAAATTCAATCACTGACAAGCCATTTCATTCAACTATGCTCATGTCCTCCTCAATTAGCTCTCTAATTCTCTGAGGCTCCCTATCTCTGGCTGTTTGCTTGGCAGTGGTGGTGGAGTACCCCCCCTTGTTGCAGGGATATGTTCAGTCACACAGCTGGTGAAAGCAGGCTGGGCAGCAGTGACATATCTTTCATATGTGCACCCTTTGGGAATATGCCCCAGTGCTACTTTTTCAGCTTTCCATTTTTTGTTCTGCTTTGCATGGTTTTGTAACATAACCTATGGTTCCTCAGGTGTAGCAGACAGATGGAGAGCTGAGCACATGGATGGAGCATCTCAAGGCCTTGAGAGATCAGGGAGGGCATGTTGGGTTGGAGATGACATAAGTTTTTTGTTTAGAGGAGAGAAGAGAGGTGGCAGGGTGGCAAAGAGATACAGGGGAATATGCCTAGGGAATGAGCTTGGTAAAGAGGGTTAAAGGGTCTGAGTGCATGGGTAGAATTTCAAAGTATGGTGCACAGCAACCTACAGCTCTGTCCAATGGGACATTGGTGCTTTGGTCAGATTCACCACAGCAATTCTTCAGAAGGCTAGGAAAGTCAACTGCCTGGGAGCAGTACAGGGGTATGGCAACCTTGTAAGAGGAGAAGATCCTGCCTGAGCACATCTAAACAGAGAGGAGTAAGCTCAACATTGCCTGAAGATCATTCACAGGCTCACTGATTTGGTGAACATGTAGGGAACAGGGGGATGGCACAGAGTAATACACCTAAAATGAATGGGTTAGTCTATGGCTTTTCAAGCTGTGATAGGCTCTCCTAAACCCCAAGTGCTGCAGCAAATGTGTCTCCTTGGCCTCAGGGGTGATGCCTGGAGTAGCCAAATCTGCTGCAACAAAAAGGCTTGAGGGAAGTGAGTCGAAATAAGACACAGACCTTTAGCCTGTGAGATGTTTGAGTTGCAGCCTTTAAAGCCTACATCCAAAGTTTCCTATAGCCACTTCATAACTGATGTATCAACAACATGCCAATTTGATCTAATTAGATGCCATGGCCCAGGAGAAGGCCAGTGGCAGAGCAAAACTAACAAAGCAGAGGTAGTGAGGGGCCACCCAGATGGCCAGGCACTACAAATGACAAGGAATTATTGACATTGCTATTGGTGGGGCAGGCCTGAGCTTAAGCTTGAGGAAGTGGAGAGCAGAGTGGCATTTGGGTTCTATGCCATGATGAGTTATAAGGTCTAATAGATAATGTGAGTGATCCTGTCAAGGAGGTGATGACAGAGATAATGTACATACTCTCACACTTGTGCTCTTCCTAGAACCTATGGTGCCCATCACCTACATCATATCAGTTACAAGGTCTAATGGATGATGTGAGTGATCTTGTCAAGATGAGGACAGAGTGCTGAAGCAGGAGCAAATGAAGGAATACAGAAAGCCAAAAAGGCCCACAAGTGATGCACACAGTGCAACAAACACAAGATGGACACAAAAACACAAGATGCCACACACACAGTGTATTGGTAGTGGTAGGGAAAATTTACAATGATGTGAGTCATGTCTATGGTTCATGTATGTACTTGTTAAGATTGGAGGGTGTCATGTGCTGACACCCATCCACCTTCAACACAGAGTAACACACACCTCAGGTCAACATCCAGGCTGATCTCCCCAAGTCTTCAGCAATCCAGAGAGACTTGCAGGTGCAAACCAAGGGTAATCCCTCAGCTCTGGACAGGGAGGAGAAAGGAAGGAGAGTTG